TGCACCGTCAAGATGCATGAGACGATGAGATCCGGAGACCACTCTTACGAAGTCGACAAGAATGGCCAGAGCCAACTCGAGATGGTGGCTACTCGCACCCCACCTAGCGAGCCCGAGAAGCAGCGGTTGGCGCCCATTACCAGCAGAGCTCCAGAGGTCCACGAGAAGGTGAGTGTAAGACCCTGAATGTTTGATCATATACTAATTCACCCCTAGATGAACGCAAGGCTGGCCATGACGCTTCTGTGCATGTCATTCCTCTGGATCGGCTCTCAGATCCCGCTCTTCCTCTTCGGCTCTGTCCTTCCTCTCATCTATCAGGATGTTGGTGGGGTTGATCGATACATTTGGTTCATCATCGGATACCTCATACCCAATGCGGCTCTCTGCCCTTTTGTGGGCGCATTGTCCGACCTGTTCGGGCGACAGAAGGTGGCTATTGTGGGTCAATTGTGCCTCATAGTCGGGCCGATTATCACGGTGACTGCGCATACCATGAACATCGCTATCGGTAAGTACCGCAACCTTATTCGAAACACCATGAACCTAACGACTCGTAGCCGGTCAGGTCTTTTCGGGAATTGGTGCCGGTCTCAATGAGCTCATCGCACTCGCTGGCACAGCAGAGATCGTGCCCATCAAAGATCGCGGCAAGTACGTCGGTCTTGTCGTAATCACCATCCTTCCCTTCTGCCCATCAGTGTTGTGGGCTCAATTGATCGCTCAACAGAGCAACTGGCGCTACAATGGTATTTTGGTTTGTGTATGGAACTTCATCGGGTTGGTACTCTGTGTCTTCTGCTACAAGGACCCGTCGCGCTTGACGGAAGAGTACACCGCCCGCCATGTCCTCCGCCAGGTCGACTACATTGGTGGCATCCTGAGCACATGTGGTATCACTCTTTTCATGATGGGTCTACAATGGGGTGCATCACAGGTCAGTTTACCATCCGAAGCAGATTACATCGCAGTGCTGACACTCTACAGTATGAATGGGGCAGCCCGCACAACATCGTCCCTCTCGTTCTCGGTATCATACTCATCATTGCCTTCTTCGTATGGGAGGTGTATGCTCCACATCCCATGGTTCCCAGAGCAATCTTCCACAAAGCGAAGCAGACCATGATAGTTATCCTTCTCATCACATTCCTCAGTGGTGGCAACTACTTCGTCCTGCTGCTCTTCTGGCCCACTCAAATCTACAACGTCTACGGTAAGCATGACCTACGAATATTTTCCCCACTACTTCCATACTAATATAAGTCTAGGTGATGACCCGGTTGGCGTCGGAATCCGCTCTCTTCCCATCGGCTTCGGCATCATCGGCGGTGCATGCATCTGCCTCGTCCTCATCCCCGCCACCAAGGGTCGCATCCGCGAATTGATGATCTTCTTCACGGCCATGATGACAGCCGGCACAGGGGCCATGTGCATTGCGACACCCGACAACCTGAACGTAGTGTACGCCCTCATCTCACTAGCATCCATTGGAGTCGGCGGGGTCATTATTCCTTCCTCCATCATCGCGCAGATCGCCTGTCCGGACGAACAAATCGCAACCATTACAGCCATCACACTCAGTATCCGCTACCTCGGTGGTGCGATTGGTTTCGCAGTCTACTCCAACCTCTTCTTCCGCAAGGTCACCATCCACCTCACTGAAATTGTCGCGGAGAAGACATTAGCGTATGGCGCCATCATCAACCCTCTGTCGGCCGACGGAATCGCCGTCATCACCCTCGTTACCAACCTCATGGGTAACGCTAGGTTCGAAGAAGTCAAGGAGATCTTTGCCACCAACCAGGAAGTGCTGCAGAGAGATGCATTCCCTGTTGTCCTGCGTGCTTCCCAAGAAGCTTTCGCGTTGGCATACAGGTGGCCATACTGGATCTCGATCGCTTTCGGTGGTGCTTGCTTCATTTTGAGCTTCTTTGTTGGAAACATTAGGGGTCTGTTGACGGCCAAGGTCGCTCATCCTGTCTAAGCAAGGAGGAAGCTTGCTTGTAATGCTTGAGATGTCTGGATAGTCGCTCTGGAGGCGGTGAGTCAGATGTAGATACACCAGCTCTCAAATGACATTCGCTTTGTTGAAGATGTTGATTGTGACTCGAGGATAGAACTTTTACCGTCTCATTTGTACTTGCACATGTTGATATCTTCGGAGAGGTCACACGGTTTGGTGGGTTCGTACTATAGTAATTACGTTTCTTGATTAATGTTTAACTTTTATACTTTTTGAGACACAAATTTTGTGTGGGTAAACAACACACCGGGTATATAACGCCACCAGCAATGCCAGCATAACTTCGCCTCCGCTAACTTTGCAGCCAAATTTTGAAAAAAGAAAAGAACAAACAGAAAGGAAGAGCGGGCTCACTCAGGTACGCCTGGCCATGCTTAATAATCCACCGGCGACTACTCCAGCGCCCATGATACCAATCTGCGTCCAGGGCACTTGGCCCACGTAGAGCCAGCTCTTTGAGACGGCGCCGACAACATAGTCCAGTGAGACAGAGCTATGCTTTGCATGCTTCGTATGCCGACGACTGGACAATGGCGAAATTGAAGGAAGGGTGGGGTCGTATTTTGGAGGATCGGTCCAGCGCCGGGAGGAGGTTTTGGAAGTGTCGATTACCGTGTCTGCGGTACAAATCTCTGCCTTTGGGAGGGAGGCTTCACCAGCGGGTATGCTAGGGAAAGTGAAGGCTGAATTGAGGGTACCGCGTGATTCGTCTTTGACAGAAACGACTTGTTCATCCTCTTCAATCAATTCGGACACAGTGGCTTTTGTTGAAATTAAAGGCGGCGCAGGGCTCGAAAGATAGTCTTGCGTGCTTTGCTCATCCTCAGGTGGTGTAACGACGAGGACAAACTCTGTGTTCTCCATAGTATCCGATGATGTCTTTAGCTCAGCATCGATGCCGAAGTTTTCTTGTAGATCTCCAAAATCCCCGTCGTCCTCATCGTCCTCAAAAGCGTCGTCGACACGTTGCTCAAACTTGGCAGTTTGTCTAAATGTCTTGAGCGCGTCCATGGATTCCGTCCGACAAGTCGTCTTGCGGCGCCTGGATGACATGCTTAGTCGCGCATTGATGGAATTGAAGGCGTTTTGCGCCCCTACGCTGTCCGCTTTATTGAAGGTTTCGAAAAAAGGAGTGTCTGGTGGTGAAGAGGAAACATAGCCCTCATCGCTGGGCTCAGAGTCGGTTTCATCCTGACTCTGCGACTGATCACACCCGTCATCGTCTCCAAATACGACGTCGTTGAAGTCCAGCTCCTCTTCTTTGTCGACGAATGGGCGGGGAATCGCGAACGTTGTTTCGTTGTCCTCCACTGATGCAGTGGTTGTCGGCGACATCTCTTCGTCGTGAACAGGACCGTTGTATGGCTCGTAAGCCTCTTCATCCCAGCCGTCGTCCGAATCGCTATCATCATCATCTGACATATCGACTCCAGTCTCGGCTTTCTGCTCCTGAGCCTTGAACTGGTGGTAAAAGTTCTCAAGTTCTGTCCTGGAGAACCACTGGAACTGATCAATATGGTTGGTGATTTGATCATCAATCATGCGATCAATCTCCTCGTTCATCTCGCGATCGGCGTCTTCTACCGCCCCTTCTTCGGGGTCGACAACATCATCGATCTCGTGCGCATTCTCGATGGAAGTGACGATGTTCAAGGGTGAATTACGATAGACCCTTCTAGACGAGAAACCTCTATGTTTCATCTTCCAGTCCCGGAACCCTCTCGCATAGTAAGACCGGTGGCCCGGGTATTCGCTCAATTCTGGATAGGCTGGGGCGTCGGACTCTTCTTTACCTTCATAAGAAGGACCAATAGCGTGCGTGATAAGACTGTATCGCGCAGACATGACCTGATGTTCTGGACTGCAGCCAAGTACGGCGATATGCCAGTGCTCAGCTGGCGGCTCAACAACTGGCTCTGTCTCTGCCTCCGGGGTAGGCTCCGCGTCTGACGACTCCTGGATGGCGGGAGGATCCCAATAGGCACGCTCGTTGGAGATGCGGGATAGCGTGTAGACTTCGCCTTCCTTCGTGTCATCTCCAGTGGGAGCGACCTGGAGAGGGCCTAGCTCGGCGGCAGTGGGCGCGGAGGTGTCGACGGTAGCATTCCAGCTATCCAAGTCAAATTCGTCGTCGTCGTCGTCGGCCCAGTTGAATTTCTGGTTGACACTAGCGACTGTGTCGGAAGCCATGATTGCTTGTGTGACTGTTTTGGTTTGGTGATCGTAAGTGGTAACCGAAGGGTCGTTGTGGTATCGAGTTCAGTAATGGCCGGCGAGATCGCAGTGCGGTTGGAACTACGCGATAATGTGATGGAAAGAGTGACGTAAACCAGACAGTTGCAAATTTGTTCGTGGGTGTGCGATGGTGAGAGTCCGCTTTCTTACACAGTCTTGGCGTTGGAAATGTGCGCGGTGGTGGTCGATGCGCAGTCGTTCGTAAAGAGGGAAACGACGAGCGGGCTAATTAGTGAAATGTGTAAAGAATGAGAAACCGAAGACATTTTGGCAAGTGAGAGCGTTGTGTGGTGACGTCGCGATAGTGGATGACCCTTGATCAAACCAGGGTTCACTCCTCGTGGGTTTAGTCATTCACGACCACACTTTGGAATTCACACAAAATGCTTGAAGTGTAATGAGGGCACATGGCAGGGCTTATATTCATACAGCAAATGCTACTGATGCATGCAGGTGGGTATCTAGAATCGAGGTTTCATAGCGCGCCAAAAGAGAATTCAAGTAAAAGCAAAGATGCTCTACAAAATATGTCTGTGTCGTCCAATGAAAAGCGTTTCACAGGGGCTTTCCAATCAATTCCAACGCATCTACCATGTCCCCAACATATGTTCGGTCTGAAGTGGGCCCAAACGCTCGCCGAACCATCGTTCCGGGTGGATTGCGGAGGCAGCGTGAACGGTCCGTGAGACCAGTCGGATCACCTAAAGAGTTCCGACGCAGATCCAGTTCCCCAGCCGACCATCTAGAGGATGCTGTCGATCTTCTGGAACGGATGTCGGCTCGACAGCGCAGCTGGCAACACGCGCCAAGCAGTCCGTGAGAATCGTTTCGTCGCTTTGACATAGTCGTGGGTAGCCTGCTTTGTGTTTTGGGGTATTTTCTTGAGACAATGCTTCATCTTGCTAGTCCACTTGCGACGCGGTTTCGCGCAACCATCCAAGGGTTCTGACCAACATTCGGAATCAACATCCGGATTAGTGGCGACATGTTCAATAAAATCGGCGGCTTCCTCGTACATAAGCGGAGCCGTATACGGGCGGTTGGCGATGACTTCAGGCCACATGGGTTCGTCATTGTCCGTAGTTTCCGTTAGCGACGCACGTAGCTGTGAGAGCTCTTCTACGTCGCAGTCCTCGGATTCATTCCTCGTGATAGAGTTCTGGGCGTCTTCAAATTCGTTTCCAATGCGCTCGGGTGCGTTGGGCCAGCTTTCACCCTCCCACGTCTGCAGCCCACTAGACCATTCTTTGGTAGTGGTGATAGGTGGACTGAGTGCAACCTTCCCACCCCGCACAGTGCCACCCGCACAACCTTGAAGATGTTCGCTTTTTGGAACAATACCTGCGACAGAAGAATTGCACCCTGTCTTTGCAGACATTTCATAGCCATGTCCGCACTTTCCAGTATCGTTGTCAAGGCCAAGTGCGTTCATAAGCCGAGAATGTTCAGTTCGTGCAGACTGTGGACGGTTGGTCCGGTAAGACGAAATGGAAGTCCTCGAAGTGCATATTGAGAACACTGAATTTTGGACGGACGATTTGGTATTCAGGGTATCGTTAGAAGACGAAGTGCGAATCCGAGCCGTAGCTTCGGGTTGATTAGCGTACGGGCTATCACCCGCGTCTTTGATCTGCCCGGGCTTTTCAGGTCCATAGCAGTTCGTCCCAAATCGTAGCAACGACGGGCCATGTACCATGCTGCACCCGGTCTCAAGCTTGTATTCCAGCCATTCGCGACAATCAAAGCCGGTGCCAGCAGTAGCGCAATGTACAATTCCAAAGCGTTCTTGTAGCATGTCCAGAGCGTCATCCGCTGAAAGTCCGCAGCTTCCCTCATCATGCGTGGCGCAAGGGCTGTGACCCTCAAAGCTTGGGTCGTAGCAGGGCTTACGGATAACACTGTAGGTGGTACCTGCAGGTAGTGGGCACGAAGAAAGCGAAGCAGAAGGTGACGAGCGCGAAGGCGTACGGTGGTCCTCAACGTGAGCGATCATTGATGCGAGTGAACGGTTACCGCTATGACGACGAAGTCGAGAGTTTTGCTTTGGTCCACAGGGGTAAGGTATATCGATGTCCTTGGGAGGCGATGGTGTAAATGGGTGAGCGTCAGAATATGTGCGGCCGGGTGGCGTGATTGACAGCGCTCCTGTTACATCCTCTAATTCCTCGACCTTTTTAGCAAAGGACGAGAGTGCGTTCTCGATTTTCAGTTCAAGATCGATGTCGTCGTCTTCTGAGTCAGAGTCTGTCTCTGATCCGGCGCTGTCAAAGCTAGCATTCGCGATACATCGAGCCAGAGAGGGCGCACTCTGGGCGCGCATCAAGCGGGCTTGATGAGGTGTCTCAGTATCCAAAATGTTCTTATCCTTGAACTCTGTCGGCGCCACAGCCTTGGAGGTCGGAATTTTCTGCATGAAGTCGCAAACCCCACGCCATGAGCGATCCGCATCCTCATCCTCGTTGATGTACTCGCCCAGGTCGGTCTTCATATCCTCGTCTAATATGTCGAACTCTTCCTCTTGCTGTGCTTGACCAAGGAAGAAGACTGTTTTGGTGCCAGTCGCGGTGATGTGCTCGTGGCCCATCTGCTTAATGGCCTTGTACTGTCCGACAATGTAACCTTGTACATCTCGCTTTGTCTTCACGTCCATTAACGCGAAGCTCCTTACAATGCGCGGAAAGGAAGTGGGGTGTTCAGGGGGATCATTGGCAGACGAATCGAAGGCTACATTGATCTCAGGCTGTGGGCCTGAATGATTAGGTTGGCTGGGCGTCTTGTTTCCGGCTCCTTCATAGGCATAATTCGCGCGACGAGTTTTAACTGGCGATGCGGGAACTCGTAGTCGCGCCATGTTGTCTGTCGGTTGACCGCTGTACTTCCGTCCGTGGTGGTAGAAAACCCGGCGCTCAAACGCGCGCGGCTTGCATGATGGCCAGCTACTTGAGTTGAGTGTCGAGATGATGTGGGACGAAAGGCGTGGTCGCTCACCACTATAGTGGGGTACAACTGGGGTCGGTGTGTACAAAAGCTGTGTGAGCGTTTGAGTTATCCAGAAGCGGGTCTCTCTTTTGCCAGCGCTCACCACAGCAACGGCGGGGCGGGGCCCATGCTATATTTTCATCTTTCACCTGTTTCGAAGACGGTCCGCGTGAATGTGGAGACAAGAATTAAGAAGGGAGAGACATTGTGAGGAGACGGGATGAGATGGAGTCGCAAGCATGAAACACGAGGTAGGTCGTGGCCAGCAAACAAGTCTTTCATAACGAAGGTCGAATTCTGGATATCTGCTTCGTCTCTGAACTGCGGATAAGTAGTCGCTATGTACAGATCGATCGCCGCATCTACTGACCGGTAGGTTTCCGGTGCATGACTGTCGCTGCCGCCTATACAACGTTAGTGTACTATGTCTCGTTCCTCCGGTTGCACATACCTGGTGGTTCGGGAAGATCAGACTATCAGCCAACACCACATTCTCCCTCCGTCCCGCAGCGAATACCACAACCTCTGCGATATCCTCCGGTGTCAGCGGTTCAACGCCCTCGTAGACCTTCTTCGCCTTCTCTTTGTCGCCTCCAAACCTGACTACACTGAATTCTGTCTCAACTTGTCCAGGATCAATCTCGATGACGCGTATCCGTGTAGCGATAAGCTCCTTGCGCATGGCATCTGTAAAGGAGCGCACAGCAGCCTTTGTAGCGCAGTAGATGGATCCGCCTTGGTAGGGCTCGCGACCTGCGATACTACCAATGTTTATAATGTCGCCGGAGGGTGTGGATCGCGCTTTGAAGATGGGTAGGATGGCTTGCGTCATGTTGATTAAGCCGGTTACGTTTGTACTGAACATGGTGTCGATATCGGCGGGCGAGATATCGGGAGCTTGCGCAACACCTTTTACAAGGCCGCTGGATTGCAGTTAGCAAACGGTAGTAGATATCCGAGGAGGCGGTGGCATACGCGTTGTTGACGAGCACATCAATGTCCTTGTACTCTTGTGGTAGGTTTCCGACAAAGTTCTGGACTTCGTCCGGCTTGCTGACGTCAAGTTTGACTGGCAGGACCTTGACGCCTTTTGCAAAGCCTTGAATTTCCTGTGCGACCTCTTTCAATGTGTCTTCTCGCCGCGCAGTGAGGATAAGCTTGAGGTCGTCGGGCTGTGTCCGGGCGAATTCGATTGCTGTCGACTTGCCAATGCCAGAAGAAGCACCGGTGATGACGATAGTCTTGCCCTTTAGGCGCTCTGCCATCTTTGTCGACATGCTTGCGGTATGTTGTTGGAGGATGTTCGATAGCTGGGTGCTTGTAGGTGCGAGGCGGGGCCGTAAGGGAGCTTTGACGAAGGCAGCAGCAGTGCGGAGGAATTGGCGAGATGACGAGAGATTAGGCATGTACGCCGCAATGCTTTGTAATGCAGCAACTGATGTTTGCAGGACGTGGGGCAGGGGATTGGGGATTGGGAGACAGGAGGCAGCGGTTATGAGGTCGCCATCGGCGTATCTCCGAGGCTGCACGAGTCAGGCACCGAGGGGTAAGCACGACAATGTGGAGAGCTCTCGCTTCAAGGCACGAGGACCTGGCTTCAACCATCTCAGTCACGCACTGTTGGCGATACATGTTGAGTTGAAATTATTTGATTCATGCCTTTGCCGTGTCTCAGGCGGGCTTCATGGAGACGTTTTATCGTCAATCCAAGTCATTATTTTCCTCCTCCAACTCCTAACACGCTGAGTATGTGTGCGGGGTATCGAAATCGTCATTCATCACAACGAGTTTAGTTGGCGCCCTTCTTCTTGAGCATAGCCTCGTCCTCTTCCCTCAGCTCCTGGTCGATCTTGGCTCCCTTGGAGGGCTCGTTGCCGTGTGCGCGTGCGGGAAGGGTGGCATCTTGCTCGCGCTGGCGGTCCTCGAGAGACTTCTCCTCGCCCTCCTTCTCACGCTTCTCCTCGCGCTCGAGCTTGTTGGCGATGGATCGCTCGTCCTCTGCGGGTGATTGTTAGTGAACGGTCTTGTAAAGAGATGGCTGATGACGCGGCATATCGACAGAGGAAAATGCACGCGAGGCCGAAAGAAACATACTGGAGTCCTGGGCCTTGTGAGAGTGCTCCTTGCCCTCGTGGAAGCGGGCCTCCTTCTTCTCCTGCTCGATCTCGGCGTTGGACCTGGTGACCTGGTCCTGGGCCTCGTAGACCGCACTGTTACCGACGTTGGAAGTTCCAGACATGTTGTTTGTGTGTGTTGGTGGAAGTGGGAAGAAGTGGAAGGTTTGTAAAGTGTAGTTTGAAGTGAGAAGTGGCAATTGATTGTGTTTGTTGCTGGGTGAGTGTGTCTTCTCCCCTCTTTATTAAGGGTCTGAAGTTTGCGCAGAGGCTAGGACCCATGATGACGTAGCTGGTAGCAATTACATCATGGTGGGGAAAACAAACACCAACCCATGGATATTTCGGGCGCCAAACGCAAGAAGCCTGATGACATGCATGAAGCCGATGTGGTACTGGGGCTGACGAAAATTGCATGCCTAGATATTGCGATCGCGGAATCCTTTGCTGGGCTAAGTGCGGCCTTGCGCAGAACACAATACGTATCCATCACGCGACAATTACGCGTAGCTCCTCTTCGTGATCCATCTATCAACAAGCGCCAGCGCTTCCTTCGGCTTGTCCATCGGTACCAGATGGCCTGCTCCATTAACCGTAGCGAACGCAAACGTGGTCGCTCTCCCGCTTGTAGTCACGGTCTTGACTTCTTTAAACCACCCCACCTCCTTGCCCTCATGTTCCCACGGCCTCTTTGGCTGTGCGACAAAAGCAGGTTGGCCTTTCCATTGCATCGTGCTAGCCCACTGCAAGTTCCCTGCGGTGTTGCAAGCAAGGTCCAAATTACCCTGGTAAAACAGCACGTCGATGCCATGCTCAAGAAGATACAAAACCTGAGGCTGCATGCTGAATACCAGATCCCCAGTAAGCTCAAAAGCCAACGCAATATCAAAAGAGAACCCTGTGTAGTTGGCTATAGCTTTGGGTACGCCAAGCGCTTCCCAAACCTTCGGCACGTTCATGTAGTCTTGAATCCTTTGGATCTCTGGGTAGCAGAACTCGTCTTTCGTCTCGCACCCGTCCGTGATATCAAATCGATTGCGACCTCCAGCTCCAGACTCTCCATCGTAAAGGAGCACAACGCCTTCCATGCATACGTTGTCGGCTGCGAGACAGATGGCTGGATCAGGATTCTTGTAGCACACGTCGATAAGTGCCATACAGCGAGGGAGGTTGGTAGCTATGATGTCGCAACGGGTCTGGTTGAATACGGGAGTCTCCACACCGGGGTTCGTAGTGCACAGCGTTTCCCAGAAACCAAAGTTGGTGTCCCGAGGTGAGACAAAAGCGTTGCCCGTGAAGGTCGACTTGAGATTCACTTGCGGACGCTTAGGATATTCAAGGTTCTTCGTGACAATTTCTGCGCCGAGTGTTGGAACGTAGTGGCCCTATCTTCGATTAGTGAGTGTCTTGCGGGGTTAGCAACATGTGCTTACAGCATAACTCTCTCCTGTGATATGAAAGTCGCGATTCAAGAGATCCGGGAAGACTTCGCTCGTGAACAGCTGCAAGAAGTGATGCATGTCCTCAGCAGCCGTGAAGCTTGTCGCAGGAAGCGGGATGCCCTCATCGACGTAGCTGAAACCCACACCAGCGGGCTGATCAACAAAGATGATGTTGGCATTCTTGCTCCATCCGTATTCGTTGTGTACGGTACCGTTGCCAAACTCATTGATCGTGCAAGGTCCCAGTTCGCCCATCAGCCCAAGCATGCCTGAGCCACCCGGTCCTCCTGTTAGCCATAGCAAGAGCGGATCTTCGGAGGGCTTGTCTTGTGATTCGAAGTACCAGAAGAAGATGTGCTTTGAGCCGATGTCTAACCAGCCGGTGTATTGCTTGGAGCGCGCGTCACAGATAGTGTCGCTCTGCTGATGCTTTATGCGAATCGAATGGTGCTCGGAGAATGGACTTTGGTAGACCTGGAAGCCTTCCACTTCTGGCTTCTCCTGGAATGGGATTTGGGAGAACAAGGACGCCGTTGCAGTCGCGGCGAGCAGACTAGTAATGAAGAGCTTCATGATTGGCAGGCGTACCCTGATGGGCTGATAGTTGGTGCTCGACACGAGATGAAAACACCGGAATACAATTGGTGGAGTCAAGACAGGACGAAGATATCACACACAGGTATTTATCGTCTGAGGATCACGCAGGCAGCAGGAAGATAAGATGGCTGGTTGCTGACGAAGAGGAGCAGCCTAATGACGCCCTCCTCGGCTGGAGCAGCCCGCGGCGATCGCCCTGTATCGACCAGGGTACACGACATCTTCAACACGACTACTGCACGCGACTACACATCTCTCTTGGCCAATTTGCGCGACTAGGACGTGTTAATTCGGACTACCCACACTTATACTTTGCTATTCATATTTTGGACACGCAACTAGCCTTAAACAGCACGCTGGGAGAACTTATCGATCCAGCGCCCATTTCACCAGAGCGACAACTTCTTCCTTCACCATGCCCTACAACAACACTCCGATTGCGCCAAATAAGGAAATCACCGGCCATGTGTCGCTTCCTCGTAAGTAAGGATTTACACATCTTCACTTCTCTCCACCACCTTCGTCGTCACTCCGACCCTTTGCGTGCTTCTTAGAGACCACCCTACCACGGTGTAGTACTGCTGCGACTTGCGCCTGTGGTGGCCTCATAACGACCGACTGGTTCAGCTCCGCTTGTGTTCAGCGCAATGTCTTCAATTCCCCACGTCCCCAGTACTCTCGTCTTTCCTCGTAGCAGACAACCAAGCTAACTCACTCCA